GTCTTGTGTACATTGTAGAGCCTTTCACGCTGCATCTTGTGGTATAACCCCCCCCCCCCCCCCCGCATTAAAAGGCCCGGGGGCCTTCTATAATGGCGGAGCAAACAAAATTTCTAGGGGGGCCTTCTATTAGGAATCTATGATATACATTGTCGAAAAGACGTCTAATTTTCCAATAGGTAGTCTTTTTTTCGAAAAAATGATGAAATCTTACCATTCACATGAAAAAGATTTTTGTACATTGATAAATTACCAAAACTTGATGTTCAGTTATTTTCCATAATTCCTTCAGTTTTGACTATCCGAGACGTTCATAATTAAGCGGATAAAATTGTTTTTTTGCTGAGCTTCCCAAGTCGTAGGAATTTCGACAAAAATGGAACCAAAATGCGGATATTCTGTATGGCAAATGAACGGTTCCCTATTCACAGGGACAGATACACACCATTTGAAAGCTTTTGAGGTATAAAAGAACTTCTCGCGTCAAAATTTACGTGAGTGTTTTCCAGGTTCACCGGTATCGAAGTAGAATCATAGCCTTAATATAAGGCCCGGGCCTTCTATTAAGGCGATCATTCAGAACTTTTTGGGGGCCTTCTAATAAGGGGGGCCCTTGTAATACGGGGGGCCTTCTATTGCGGGGAGGGGGGGGGGGGGGGGGTTACAGTTCTACTAGAACATTCGACAAATGTATTACTCGGTTTCAATAAAATTTTAGTTAAGCTATGCATTCTATAAAATTCTATCAGTTAAAAAACTTTATGGTCGTAATATTGAGAACTTATATCACAATGAAGATTGCTACTTAATCGAAAATGAGCCAAGAGAAAAATTCATTTAAATGAATTGATTCAATCAATTGAAATAATTGTTGATGATTTGTTTTAGCAAGCGTTAATGAAATTATATCCAACATATCGTCCACCAGATGAAGCAATTCTTACTGAAGATTCTGATTTGTATCAACAAGGTCGATTTACTCCAACACTTCCCGCTTCATTACAAAATGATCCAACATCATTAATTGATTCAATTCGTAAACATTTAACAACAAAAGCTATTGCTATTAAAACACCATTACAATTATTTAATGAAATTTTTATTAATAATCAACGATTAAATACTTCAACATTGACAAAAAATCGTATTGAATTAATTGATAATGAAGAAAATCTTGTTCTTGTACGTGTTACAGCTATGGATCAACAATTTTGGGGTGTTAGTGCAGCAAAAACTGTTGCACAAAATGATGCATGTCAACAAGCTATTGAAACTTTATGTAATGTTTCATTTCGTAATGCTAAAGGTAAATAAATATTTTATCGATATAATATATAATTTTTTGTTCATTTAAGCTGAATTTATTCGTGCACTTCAATCAATGAATAAAATAACATTACCACCTGAAGTTAAAACAGATAATAATAATGACAATCATAATAATAATGAAAATAATAATAATAATAATAATAATAATAATAATAAAGTGGAAGAACAATTAATGACTACAGAGTTAACGTCTATTCCAGGTGTTTCATCATCTTTTTTGATACCCAATGATGATGTCTAACTTATGTGATCAGTCCATTATATACATATATATCAGAAAACAATCATAAATAAATTAGTTTCTTTTTTGAAAACATTCTTTGTTTGTTTTTACTAATTTATTCGGTATTTTTTAAATATTCTGACATGTATCAAATCGTTATTTCATTTATTGTTCAATAATATACTAACAAAGTAAATTAATGTGTGGTAGTTTCCACTATTAAATATATTTCCGATTACACAAAACTTCGGTATCATTGATGAAATAAGTCATAATATATTAAACTTCACATTTAAGTCAATCTGTCGATTTCATGAATAATGAGTCAAAAAAAGTAGACGAGTCGAAAAGCATTATTCAGTCTGAAAAACGTGTCGTTCAATGTTTTTTAATATTTATTGATATTTTGTTATTGTTTTTAGTTAAATTTTCAATTTTATTTCGTTTATTTTCTGTTGAGTTTGGTTTTATAAAACAGTTTAAACAATTTTTTCTTATTTGTCAAACGTAAGATACTCAGAATTGTCATTGCATATAAGAAATTAATTGAAACAGTGAAAACTTCAGTAATAAGTATTCTTTACGAAAAATAGTCTTTACAATATTATTTGATTTTTATAGACTTTTTCATCATTCTGTTATCATTTCTTCAACGACTAATTCTTTTTCTGGTCAACTAGAAAAATAGATTATTGAATTATGTTAACCATAATTGTTGTTCCTATCATTAATAGATCTTGTGCAATCATCTCAATTTCATTTATTAGCACCGTTACATAATTTTATTTGGATATATCAAGTTGTTCTTATCATAGCTAAAAAACGCAAAAAACTTGATATAAAATTTTTAATGTCGCTAAATGGATATCGATGACGATAGACTTTTTGTATGACAACTCTCTTCTCGGTTGGCTCGATGTATTGCGAAACGTCAAATTACTGTTATTGACGAAAAAAAAAAAAATTGGACTATCCATACTCTGTAAAAATTTTTATCATTGAGCGAAGGATTATTCAAAATTTATATTTATAAAAACAGTGTCAAGAAATATTGTTTGTAATTAGTACCATTAGCTTCAAGAAAGAGTTCTAACTTGTTTTACGGACTGAAAAATCTTTCATGCAATTTAAATTCTAGGATTTATTTTCGCAAAGTAAAGTTTCACATGAGTTAATAATATTTTATCTATTATTAGGCCTATTTTGTCTTGTATATACAGCATTACTTCTAGAATCCAAATCTCTCATATGATTACATAATATATTTAGAATTCTTCGAAGAAGGAAGTTATAAACTTGTTTAAAAGAAATGCTTCTATTTTTAAAGTAGGTGTTTGAAGACGTTTCTTGCATGATTCACAAAGAGGGATGATACTTCGATGTTACTTGTTTTAATCTTCTTGACGGTCTATACTGTGCATTATCAGTTATTGAAATAGAATTAGAAAAGAATTTGTTTCTCAGAACTATTGTCCATTATTCTATCGAAGTTCAGGTGAATGGACGGACACGTGTGAACACTCCGACGCACTATAGAAAAAAGCTGCGAACGCACTCTATGTCATCAGGCGAACATGATCCAAACTACTTGTCGTTCGCTGACATACAGCTGATTCATGACTTTTTCAGATTGTGTCCCAGTGTTCGCTTTAAACTATTCGAACAATTACTGCTGTTAGTTGTATACTGGTGAGACATGCAATGTGAACAATCACTGTCTCATATCTTTTTCGCAGCGACAATTACTAAAAGCTAACTATGGTTATCATTCTTATCGCGGATACTCTTACGTTGATTGAAAGCAACTTCTTCATGTAAAAGATAAAACAAGATAATTTTAAGAGTATTCAATTTTTCATGAAAGATTTCAAGCGTGGGAGTGGGTGTCTTCTTACATAAAACTCACATCCACATTTCGGTGCACAAAATTTTTCGAACAATCCAAAGTGACCGAATTTGCTGTACAATTTTAGCTACAAAAAGTGAAGATTTGTTCTTCAATGTTCGATTAATGTTATTCAGATGAAAGCCAATGTCAAGAAACCTCTAAATCTAAAATTTCAACTCTTTTGGACATGTGCAAGAAAATGGCGAAAGATTTACTTCTATCAGGTGATAAAAAAGCATTTGTATGCCTCTCCATGTGCTTACACTGCGCCATGGGCGGCGGAGCGATCTTGGTCTAGGGTAGGCTCAACATTTAAGCCAAGCTAGCACCGAAAGTCAATTGAAAGACTTTTTTTTCGTTTATAATGGTAAACGCTACAGATTCTCTTGCTCGGTTTAAATCCCGTAGAATTTGATAACTAAAGAATGGTTCGAAAGTTTCGACCCCTCTCTATAAATCGATAATATCTACAACAAACTTATACAAAGTTATTGATCAAATTGTGTTATTTTGTAGAGGAAGATGAGAGTTATCATTTCAAAAAATTATTTCGAAATACATAAATCTATTATAATGTTATGATCATTTTAGCAGCTTTGAGCTGGCATCCCACTCCACCTCTTTTTCCTCCTTTTCTTCTGTTCTTTTAAAATTCCTCTTTTTAGCCTCTTTTTTCGAAAAAAAAACCACTTTTTCCTCTTCTCTCACGAAGAAGCAGGTCGTTGACAAAAATATTCATGAATATATTTATTATTATTACCGTATCATACAAAAATATCACATAACAAACTGATGT